CTTTGCAGCCTTCAACCCCTTGACTGAGGCCCACCCACATTTTCTAGGGTAACCATTTCCTCATAGTCAGCAATTGATATTAACCATGGCCACAAAACACCTTTGCAGTAGCATAGAGCCAATGTTTGACCAAACCCCCAGCCCTGGGGCTTGGAAGAATTGGTATATCCAATGTAGAGATCAAGAAACGTGGGAGAGGTGCTGAAGGGGCTCCTGCCTGCAACTGACACTATGTGGCCATGTTGATCTGTCACTCAACAATTGGTGGGTGGTTACTGGGTTGGGGCTCTGAGCTCTTCCCATCAGCCACCAGGGCCTACTGACTGGAAAGAGGCTGCTGCAGAGGGCCTGGGGTTTCCCTGATGATCCTCACATGACCTGAGGCTAACTGTGTACGTGCTTGCTGGTGCAGTAAGCCCAGGGTGACAGAACCTGGGAAGTGAGGACCCTGAGGTTCAAGTGTCCTTTCTCTGTTCAAACTTGTCCATCCAGTGTGATGAGGACAGAGCACCTTGGACCCTGATGGCCAGGGGTGTCCATGAGGGGGTTCAGAGCCCCTCCACCCCCAGACCCTTCCTGATTCAGGTGGAGAAGTACTTGAGTACTGTGTGGCAGGACAGATAGACCTGGGGAGTGGTCTGGTGGATGCCAGCTGCAGTGGGCAGAGGCAGGTGGCAGAAGGAGTGCTAAAGGACAACAGTCACACACATGTTCCTTGAGGAAGGAAGGGAGAACAAACACCACAAGCAGAGACCTGCTGTGCTTCTGGAACTGAGTCATGCAAGTTAGCTGGACTTTTGTGGCCTTAGGTACCCTCCTGGGTACCGCAACTCAGTCAGCTTCACCTCTGGAAGAATGACATGTGAGATGTTGCTGGTGACCCAGAGAGAAAGATGCTGAAGGCCCTACGATTTCCCACCATGCAATGAGGTCCCCCAGGAATGAGTAGGCCCACTCTCTGGAAAGGTGCCATGCAAGTCTTCTTTCCTGTAGCTATGAAAGAAGCTTTGAGTCCTTGGCATTGTCCAGCACCTGAGGAGCCAGGGGCCAGAGAATAGCTGAGCTAAAACAGCTTTGTGGGCCCCTGTAGTCAACTACACCCCATAGTTCTTCCTGCTGGGGAGGGCACCTAGAGAGCCAGAGGTCCTACCTACCAGAAGACACCAACAGATCCTCTGCCAGACACTGGTTCCTCTGACCCTTGCCCACACTCTGGAACTCAATAGAACTTGGACATCCAAGTCCTATCCCCCTTCATCATGAGCAAATCCATCAGCAGCTGGGGATGGGGGCTAGGGCCACTGGCTTCAGGTATTTCCCTGAAAGCACTCACTCCTGCCACCCTACCATGCTAATCAATGTACCTTCTCAATACCAGTCATCACATGTGTGCCCCTTCCATGCTCTCACTTACAACTGCATCACACAGAATATGATGGGAGTTTGAAGTCTAGACTACATAGTAAGTTCAAGGCCTGCCTGAATTGCATAGTGAGGCCTTGTCTCAAACAACAGCCAACAAAACCAGGGACCATACCTCAAGCCACCTCCCTCAACACTTCCATCTCTGGTGGTCCTGTTAAGCTGGTCTCGTCCCACCCCATCAGGCACCCTTTCCTATTGTGCCCTTGGCCTCTCTGAGAGTATCCTAGAATAAGTTGGAAGAGTGGGAGCAGGCCTCAAAGGGCTCTGGTGAGACAACACAGTATCTTCTAAATTTTGGTGGTCTAGGAGTGAACTTCTCAGATGTTCTTATCATGCAGATGGTTCATTTCTAGCTCAAGATGCTTTTCCTGTCTGCAAACTTATGAGAGTCCACAGGGTGAGGGCCTCCACCTAAGGGAGGCTTGCTGGATGCTGTGAGTATGGCTATGTCTGTACATGTGTGAATACAGTCCGTCTTCCGGATCACCCACTGCTGGGGCTCTGAAACTCAGAGCATATGACAGATTCAGTGATAGGATTTGTATTTATGCTTTTTCAGAGATTACCAAATTCTCTAGTCCATTATGAGACAAGATCTCCTATAGCCCAGGCTGGCCTTGAACTGTCTATGTGGACAAGGCTAGTCCTCAAACTCAAATCCTTCTGCCTCAGTTTACCACACCCAGCTCTCATCCATTTTTCATTCTTGATTATTACAACAACCTTTAGTTTAGGGTCTTTGCTGCAAAGTTATGGAAACTGTCCTCTTTTTTGCCAACAATTTTTTAATTGTGGCAAAATTCACTGCTTTTACTATTTTGAAATGTGCAACTCATGCATCAGCATTTTTCCAGTTCCACAATCATCATCACTGTCTGGGTCCAGAACATTTTCATCACCCAGAAGGAAACCCCACACCCTTCCTCAGCCACCCCCTCCTGCCCCACCTGGCAATGCTGACACACTTCTGTCCCTTTGAGGCCTGCTCTGGACATTACATTCAGTGGAGTCACACAATGTTTGGCTCTTCACACTTGACCTGATGTTTTTGAGGCCTAGAGTTTCATGTCATTATGGGTTGAATGATGCTGCAATGCATCTTGTTTTCACACTGTCCAAAAGTTGGCTTGTTTCTGTGTTTGACCCTTGGGAAGAATTCAGTGAAGGTGGGGCACTTGGAGACCTGTGGGAGTCCCTATCACTGTTCTGGGTGGCTGCTTAGGGCAGGAGAGCTGTCATCCCTCACTCTATCACCTTGTTGAGGACCTGCTTGTCTCTTTCCCACACAACAGTCAAGAGGCCCTGCTTGGGAAGGAGGTGGCAGGAGGTTATCCTAGCCAGACCTACCCCCTCTTGCCTTCCTGCTACCTCATCCTATCCCCAGATTCCTCCCTGTCTCCCTGGTGATCTGAGAGGGAGGGAGAGGCCCGAGAGAGTACCTGAGGTCACTTGAGTATGCCTCAATGAACGAGAAGTGGTTTCTTTTCTTTTCTTCTATTTTCTTGGAAGGGTGTGTGGGTAGTGAAACAGGGTGTCAGCCCAGGCTGGCCTTAAACTATAGGACAGCATTGAACTCCTGATCCTCCAGCCTGCACTTCCCAAGTGCTAGCATTACAAGTGTGCACTGTCAAGCCTGGCTGAGAAGTGGCTTCTCAGAGTCTGTTGTGTGAGGCAACTGTGAGAGTAACAGGCCAGGTGTGATAAGGGACAGGTTACATCATAATGTGGGTAGTATGGGGATCTGTCAGGATTGTTCTTACTATCCCAGACCACCATGAACAAGGCCAGAACCCATACACATAGTCACAACTGGGCCCAATACTAAATGCTGACCAGCACTGACTCCATCCATCCATGCCCAAAACCTCAGGGTGGAGGGGCACGGTACAGATGTTCAGATGGCTTCTTAGAAGGCATCTCAGTCATTCAGGCCTACAGAGGTGCTGGTGACCACACCCTTGAACACCGCAACTCAGCAGCTGGCTCAGTGACTCAGAATGCCTGGCTTCGGATCCCATGTCAGAGCCAAGGTGAGGGAGGGTTTGTGCTATGGCCTGGGCCTGGCTTGGCTTCTTTGTTGCATGGCCACTTATCTTAGGGTTTTTGTTGCTGTGATGAAACACCCTTGGGGAGGAAAGGGTTAGACTTATGCTTCCACATCCCTGTTCATCATCAAAGGAAGTCAGGACAGGAACTCAAGCAGGGCAGGAACCTGGAGGCAGGAGCTACAGAGGCCATGGAGGAGTACTGTTTACTGGCTTGCTCAGCATGGCTTGCTCGGCCTGCTTTCTTAAAGAACCCAGGACTACCAGCACAGGGATAGGACCAACCACAGTGGACTGGGCCCTCCCCCATCACTCTCTAATTAAGAAAATGTCCTGCAGGTTTGCCTACAGCCTGATCTTATGAGGAAATTTTCTTAATTAAGGTTCCCTCCTCTCAGATAACTTCAGCTTGTGTCAAATAGACTAAACAGCACACTACCCCTTGGCTTTCTTAGCTGAGAGATGGAAATAGAACACAATATACTGTCTGAGCAGTTGCTATCACAATTAAAGTGGTAAATGAGGCAGTCTAAATGAATCTATAGAAGGCTCCAAGCAGGCAGGAGTCCTGTCAAAGGACGTGCTTATTGAACTTGGCCACAGGGAAGATTTGTCAGTGGGAGTCAGTAGTCAAGGATGCTGTGATAGCTCCATGCCAGTCCCTGTGTGTCCCTACCAAGACTCTGTTCTTTAGGCTTATTTCTTTTACTTCAAAGAGGCCTCTGGACACAATGACAAGGTCACTCATCCTCAGTAGCAGCCCTGCTTCAGCAGAGAGCTGGCCTGGCAGGCATGTTGCTGCAAAGCTGTAAGCAGATTTCTAGGGCAAAAGCCCCAGAGCCTGAAGTCACCGTAGACCAGGATTGGCCACTGGCCCCAGTACAACTGTTAAGCGGTGAAATGAGACAAAGGTCAATTTGCAGCTGCCTTGGGAAGATGGAAATCAAGCATTCCAGCCATCTCAGGCACTGACATGATATTTAGCCGTAAAGAGAGAAATAACCGTAGCAGGATGAGAGGGATGTAGAGTACTCAGTCCTCGTTGGTCACTGTGTCACTTCTGGTTCTACCAGGTGTTCAGAAATTGCTTGAAGGACAAGAAAGTTCCTGTGAGGCAATGTTGGGGTTTGGGGGGAGAGTGTGATTTCATCATGGTGATGATCTGTGAGTCTGTTATTCCTGGAACTCAAGGTGACTGCAGGTTGAGAGCAAGGACTGGAGACATTCAAGCTCCTTTTCTATCTGGCATGAGACATTGTAAACAATGAGAAGAATCAACTCTTATCTTTGCACTGGTCATCCTCAAGGGACAGAAACAGGCTAGGTATCCTTGCATGGTTAAGCCTATGTATGGAATTAAGTAGGAATTGGACCCAAGGGACAGACACAAAATGTAGGCAAAGGGGCCAGGTATTTGCACTGCCATTACAAATGGGGTCCAGTTGAGGAGCCCGTGTCTCTTAGAACATAGGCAGCTTCTTGGGCCTGGTTTCAAATACCACTGACTGCCCTGTTTTCCCTTGTCTGAAGAGACATCTGTCACCTGAGGAGTTCCAAGAAGTATTTGGGATGAACATCGAGGAGTTTGACCGCCTGGCCCTGTGGAAGAGGAATGATCTCAAGAAGAAAGCCCTGCTGTTCTGATAGCTGCCAGCATCTTTCCAGGAGCCTGCTGTGGGGGGCAGAGCTGAGGATCCCCACTGCCCCCCAAAGCTCCCTCTTGCACCTTGCTCTGCTTCTCTGTGTCAGTGGGGCAGGTGGGGTGCCTATGGGAGGCAGGGTGGGCCAGGTTCCAAGGAACATACAGCTGGCATCATCCCTTGTGTAGCAAGGATGCTCCCGCCCGTAGTTTAGGGCCAGGTGCCAGCTTGATCCACTCCTTCCCGCCACAACTTGGCATCAGGGCAGTGCTGCAGCCAGCTATTGTAGGAGATGGGCCAGAGCATTCAGCCAGCCCAGCACCTTCCCAGTGCACCTGGTGTGCCCACACCTGTGCTAGGCACTTGGGCCCAGAAGCATCTGGGAGGCCAGTGAAAGGCTGGTCAGTGGCAGACCCTGGCACAGCAGGGGTGGTAAGTGTGAGGCTCCTCCGAGCATGAGCAGTATGCAGGCAGGCTGAGACAGGGAAGCCAGGCGCATGTCTGAGAGGCAGTGGGACTAATTGAGATGGATCTTTTCTGGGGAATGAATGTCGCCATGACAGGGTGCCCCTCACTAGTGCTCTGTGTATACTGTGCCCTTTCAGATCACCCCCTTAGTTGCCTAAATGATATCTTTCAAGTTACACAGAAGTTTTTATTTTATTAAAAAGTATCGCTTCCTTACACATAAGAAGACATATATGCAGAGTTTAGTTTTACGGTCCCTCAGAAGAGGAGCGCCTCCGCCTTACACCCCCACCGTGCAGGCCTCTGTGCTTCCAGTCCTCAGCGTTCCTCAGAGACAGGAGCCCATCTGTTTCCCTTCGTCCCTGCCCCTTTGTATGTGTTACACAGACCGCCTCAAAGACAGACTCGCTCAGTAGTGCCGTTTGTAAATACATGTGAAGTGTATTGTCTCCTTTTTCCTCACTGTCTCTTTTCCTAAGTCTCAAAGAGAAAAGTTCCCCCTGATGGCCAAAGCCCTGGAAGAAAGGTTTCCCCACTGTGGCTTAGTCTCACAGGAACCTGACCAGTCACTGTAGCCCCCACAACACAAAACACGCATGCTCAGGAGCCAGCTGTTACATGCAGCTGGGATATAGGCACTGAGGTGGCATCTCTTCCAACCTGAGCGTTAAGAAGTGGGAGCTAACTGGGGCCCTGGTGACAGATACAAAAGAACATGCCTGTCACAGGATGTGTGGACACTGCGGTCCTGATTGACTCTAACTGTCCCCTCCTCTGGGCTGTCTTTCTCACTTTCTCACATCCCAGACACGTTGACTCTTGTTTCGTGCTGGAGTTCTCACCAGGCTGGCTGGGCTGTGGAGGGGAACTTCTGGTACTTAATCTGCTTCCTGCCACTTAGCAGTCCGGACCTGCGCAACTGGAAACCCCCACCTCCTCCCTGACGAGGTGTCATGTCATATCCTATTCCTGGGACACCTGGGAAAATAAACAGTGACACACTGTAACTTGTAAAAGGACAAAATGTGTTCAAGCATGCTTGGTTTCAGAGGCATGGGCAGGGGTGTTTGTGGAGCAGGACAGGCCACCTGAGAGGGACTCCTGCCCTATCTAGAGGTGGCCATGAGGGCTAGAGTCCTGACTTGGTCAGCTTTGGGGAGTCAGCATGAGGGGGCTAACTGATGCTCTGTGGTAAAGGTCCAAAGGGCCCCAGTGTGCCCCCTCATGTCAGGGCATCCTTTCTAGAGAAGGTGCCCAGGCTCAGTCTTGAAAGATGGAGGTCTGGGCAGCATAGCAGGGGAAGAACAGGTAGATGAAACAGTATCTCAGGATTCTGAGGCTACAAACCACTTCATATAGTTCTGAAAGCTTTGGTGTGTGGAAATGGCTGAACACAGGCCTGGGGAAAGGGCTGGAAGGAAAAAAAAAAGTCCACCAGGGATCTTCAGGGGAGGACCGATAGCATCCTGGGTAAATGTGTCACACTCTCTAATCTTATACCAATAACTGGTGAACTCAGTGTTTTTCCCCAAAGCCTACCCAGCACACACACCATGCTTTCTGTGTTAAGCAGCACTGCAGTCTACTGCTAACTCAAGCAAGAAGCCGGTGCTTTCTCTGTTTCCTCAGTGAGTCTTGGCAATTCCACCTTCCAAGTATTGTCTGTGTCTCTCCTTGGGCACTGATGTCTCTGCAAAAGCCAAGGACAGTGTGATGGCAGTATGATAAAGAACCATGGGTGCAGGTACAAGCCTTTTTGTCTTAGGAATTGTGGTCCAGGCCATACTTACCACTCACTCCTCATTTCCCAAGTGACCTATTGTCACCCCACAGCCAACAGCGAAACTCTTGAACAGCAACACAGTAGTGCCAAATGACTAGCAGCCATAACTCCAGCCTCAGTGTCTCTGGTCATTCCTGCCCCTCCTGAGCAGCTAAATGTCACAGTCTGCTCATCCTGTACTCGCTGGGTAGCATCATGACCTTGTCTTGCATACTGGTTTTCATCCCAGGAGAGTCCTGCTCTTCCCTCCCAAGTCCTCTCAGAAACAGTTCCCATATGACTCTTTGCTGACTCAAAGTCTCCAGATTCCTCAAGTACCTTCCTCATACCCCTCTGTGTGTCCCACAGTCTCTCTCTCTCTCTCTCTCTCTCTCTCTCTCTCTCTCTCT